TTTGACCAAAACATAAATCCTCTTCAAAACACTGTGCCCTCTCTGTACCCCACATCGCCACTTTGTCATTATTCAAGAACATGTTCTAAAATAATTATTAATCAAGTGAAACCACTTCCATGAGAATTTTACAATTAACATGAAACAAAAAACGGAACGCAAAACAAAAAAGAAAAGCAGGCGGCGGATTCATGTCATAGGATGTGTGGGCATTCATGTCGTTTGCCGTTTTTTTTTTCGTTGTTTTGTTCGACACCAGTCAAGATTCATTGTCTCGTTTATCGCATTTCGAAGATGAGCGCGGCAGCGTACCGAACAAAAGAGATATCGACATATATGGGAATAACAAAAAAAAAAAAAGAAACAACAACAATTTTTCATTAAAACATTTTTTTATTGGGTGCAGTGACTTTTATTCTGGATTTCTTTGGAAATTGTAATTGTTATTTCATGGAAATTTATTTAAAGTAAAAAACAATTTGAAACAATTGGGCGCCATCTGTTCACTTTGTTGGTTATTTGTAATATTTTGCAAAAAGCTGAAGCTAGGGAACATTTGTGGGGACTATATGAACACAAAAAGGGGAAACTAGAACACTTGGTGCCTGATTCTCCGTCTAGTACCTCCCCCAAAACGGATCAAAGTTTTAAATTACACTGTGCAACAAAATTCAATTTTTTTTCAAAATTAAAGTAATTAACGAAATTGATTAAGAGTAGAGCCAAAAATATGAGACATGTGTATCGGCATCTTGAAAGTTTTTTTTTTATCTGGATGTAACCAAAATAGGGCTGGGAAGTTCCGCCCAGTTTTACATTCTTGAAAATATCTGGGCTAAGATTCCTTGGAAAGGATGCATTTGAATTATATTGTGTCTTCGGCAATATTACTGGCAAAAACTCAAGGAAAACTTCTGCAAAACAAAGCGCCAAAAATATTAACAAATTAAGCCTCATTTAAGTCATAAAATGGATCTTTTTATGTCATATTCATCAAAATTATTCATTGTAAAATTTTACTATCGATGTGAAGATGGGATATACTGGTAACGCCCTCTTGTAACTCCCCAAAACTGTTCGAAAGTGTCACATATAGAGGATGAGATGAAAAAACTGCAAACAACTTCAGACTGCTGTCATTTCTAAGCCACTCGTCCGACAGCTGTTAAAATTATTCCAGTGACAGCTCTTTATATTGTTTGCAAACGTAGAAAAGCATTTTGGAGAGAGTTTTCAAGAAAAAAATTTATTCGTGATGGAATTCAGGCGTGATAGTGTGATTTCTTTATATTTGGCTTGAAAACCACAAGTGGCTATCGTTAGAGCACTCCAGCATTTAAACATGAATAAGTCTTTTGTGTCTCGTACCATCGCTCTTTACCGTGATACTGGTAACGTAGCCCCACGTCAAGGAAGTGGACGGAAGAAAACAGCGACATCAGCAGAAATGGTTCGAAAAGTAAAGAAGCGACTTGATCGAAAACTGCGTCGCAGTGGCCGAAAAATCGCTCGTGAGCTGAAGATATCGCAATATTGCATTCGACAAATAATGAAAAATGAGCTCGGGGTAAAGTCATTGATATTCCATTACACCGCAACAGAAAGAAAATAAACTCAGACTCAAAAGAGCTAAAGAGTTGCTTCGCTTGGCCGAAAGTGGTGAACTGCCGAATTTGGTTTTTTTCGCCCTCCGATGAGAAAACATTCGTTGTCCAGCAGTTTGTAAACAAACAAATTGATCGTGTTTACTTGCCAAAGAGGTCAGCTAAAAATATGCACCTTCTGTTGGCCACCAGAACTCAAGCGCCGGCCAAAGAGATCAGCAGAAAATCTGCACCTTCGGTTGGCCATGGTGATGGTGTGGGTCGCCATAACAGCCGATGGTCGTGGCATAAGAATAAATGCCGAATATTGTCGCGAAAATATCCTGGAGGGTGTATTAAAGCCTTGGGGACGCAAAAATTTTGGCCGCAGACCTTGGACATTCCAACAGGACTCAGCACCATCGCACTCAGCACGCGCCACCCAAGAATGGCTACAAAATGAGATTCCTCGCTTCATTTCCAGCGCACAATGGCCACCAAAATCTCCGGATACCAATCCGTTGGACTATTGTGTCTGGAGTATTTTGGAAAGCAAGGTTGGCATTAAAAAATACCAAAGTGTCGATCACCTCAAGCAAGCACTTCGCTGGGAATGGGCAAAAATACCGCAGAGCATCATTTGGGCAGCGCATGACAGTTTCATTGGCCGTTTGAAGGCCATAATTCGTGCCAAAATTGACCAATTCAAACAAATCTGACCTTATTCTAAAATTTGATGCAATTTCCGACATTTTTTGCTTCCATTCAATAAAATTTAACAAAAAATGTAAAAATTATGGCGTTTGATTTTGTTGCAGTTTTTTATCTCACCCTGTATACCTTCAAAGGATTTCGAGTGCACCAAATTACCAATATCAGTCCAAATTAACTGAATTTTGGCACATTCGACCGAATACAGTCTAGAAGCAAGTACATCAAATTTGGTAAAAAATTTGTTCAGATATAGCTATAGTTCCGATGCATATGTTTTATCCGATTTGAGGTTTTAAGTCCCTCACATTCGTAATATCCACTCCACAACAATGATATTTGATACCAAAGATCTTTAAGGGCTCGGAAATACCATTGTCAAATTTTATCGAAATCGGCTCAGATTTGGATATAGCTCCCATATATATCCTTAATCCGATTTCCGGTTTTTTGTGCGAATAATGGCACAAAGGAATGGACTTTCGGAACGTACGTTTCCATTTGGAAATGGCCCCGATATATATCGGCACCGATACATATATTTTTATACCCTCCACCATAGTATGGAGGGTATATTAAGTTTGTCATTCCGTTTGTAACACCTCGAAATATACATTTTAGACCCCACAAAGTATATATATCCTTGATCAGCATAAAATTCTATGTCGATTTAGCAAGGTCCGTCCATCTGTCCGTCTATCCGTCTTTGGAAATCACTCTAGCTTCCGAACGAAATGAAGTAGATTGATAAAATTTTACTCAAATATATATTATGTCTGCAGGACTTTGGGTATTGAAAATGGGTCATATAGGTCCACGTTTAGGTATGGCCTCCATATAACGGTACCTCCCGATATGCGGTATTTTGATGATTTTACCGACATTATTTATCGGAATTGTTTCAAAATTGGTATTTGAAGTTCATAATAGATACCACAAACAAAGACAGAAAATTATCTGTGCTGTTCCACGTCTTCGAATAGCCCCTATATAACCTTACATTCCGACATTCGGTATTTTGATGATTTTAGCGCCATTATTTACCGGAATTGTTTCAAATTTGGTATTTAAAGTTCGTTATGGATACTACTGTCTAAGACAGAAAATTGTCCGTGCAGGTCCACGTCTTCGAATAGCCCCATATAACCTTACATTCCGATATTCGGTATTTTGATGATTTTAGCGCCATTATTTACCGGAATTGTTTCAATTTTGGTATTTGAAGTTCGTAATGGATACTACAGCCTAAGACAGAAAATTGTCTGTGCTGGTCCACGTTTAAGTATAACCCCATATTACCTCCCTATATTCGTTATTTTGATGATTTTAACGACATTAATCACCGGAATTGTTTCAAATTTGGTATTTAAAGTTCGTTATGGATACTACAGCCTAAGACAGAAAATTGTCTGTGTAGCTCCACATCTTCGTATAGCCCCCATATAACGCTACCTCCTGATATTCGGTATTTTGATGATTTTAGCGACTTTATTCACCGGAATTGTTTCAAATTTGGTATTTAAAGTTCGTTATGGATACTACTGTCTAAGACAGAAAATTATCTGTGCAGCTCCACGTCTTCGTATAGCCCCCATATAGCGGTACCACCCGATATGCGGTATTTTGATGATTTTTGCGTCATTATCCGCCGGAATTGTTTCAAATTTGGTATTTGAAGTTCGTAATGGATACTGCAGCCTATGACGGAAAATTTTCTGTGCAGGCCCCATATAACTGTACCTCCCTATATTCGGTATTTTGATGATTTTAGCGACATTATTCACCGGAATTGTTCCAAATTTGGTATTTTGTAGTTCGCAATGGATACTACAGCCTGACCCAGAAAATTATCTATGCAATTCCACGTCTTCGAATAGCCCCCACATATAACGGTACCTCCCGATATTCGTTATTTTGATGATTTTAGCGACATTATTCAATTTTTAACGGATTTTATTTTTTGAAAATTGCCAAATTCGTTCCAAATGGTGGAGGGTATCCAAAGTTCAGCCCGGGCCGGAACTTACAGCTGTAGCAGTGTTATATTTTTATAAAAAATAAAAAATGTCTCCGTCAAACTTAGGGAAAATTGATTCAGAATTGGATATGCCTCCCATAATTTATTTCCTTCTGAAATCAAATTATAGCTGCGCTAAAGCCAAAGATTGATAGGTGGTATGATCTACTTTAAATAAATTATTTTATTACGGGAGCTCTACTAAATATGCATAGTGGTGCAGGGTATCATATAGTCAGCACTGCCCGACTTTTGACTTTTCCTTACTGGTTTTTAGCTTGACTTATTTTCCGTAGGTTTTTTGGTGTTGGTGTACCTTCAATGTATTCTAATATTAAGGCTGAAATTAATTAAAATTTTAGCCGTACCTTTACGAATATGCCACAGTGTAGTGTGTACTCTAATAATGACAGAGAACATGATATTCCCCAAAATGAAGATTAACTTATATTTATAACAGCAACAACAGATAGGTAGGTAGTTAGGTATCACATGGGCTTAGTCATACAGCGGTTAGTCAGAACGATAACAAAAACAAAAAAACAACAACGAAAATATTTATTAATTACTTTCTCAAATCAAACATATTAGATAAAACAAACAAAACAACAAACATAAATAACAAAAAAAAAACCAACACAGCAAATAAAAATATTAAAAACAAAATCTCTCTCCCTCTTCTTTTTCAGGGTCCCAAAGATTCCCCCAATTACTACATAGCCTGTCAGGCCCCGTTGGAGACCACCGTTGAAGATTTCTGGCGCATGATATGGGAACAACAATCCCGTGTCATAATCCAGGCAACCGACCTCATCGAAAATGGCATTGAAAAATGTTTCGAATATCTACCGCCCTCCGTTACGCTGGATAATCACGCAACATTTGGCGACTTCCAAGTCACGCTACAGAATCGTGAAGTCAAAGATAAATATGCCATTTCCACAATTCTGCTGAAAAATACCGCCGAAAATAATGCCAGCCGAGAGTTGACCCACTACTGGTATAAATGGCCAGAGACGGGAGTGCCCGTTGAAGAGGCACCCATCATCGCAATGCTACTGGAGGCTCGTTCTTCTCTCATTAGTTATGCCATCGAACAGGCTAATGAAGAAAAAGAAAAGAGTTCAGCGCCGGGGGCAGGTAATACCTTGAGATCGGCCGAAGAGGGTGGAGCGACAAATGGCGTCAAAGATGGAACAAATTCGAATGGTAGCAGTAATGCGGAAATAAATGGCAATATTTCAATGGTGCCAATCAAAAAGACTGCCAGAAATCAGGGGTAAGTGGGAAAGTTATGAGTGTGTGTGTATGTGTGGTAGAATGAAAAAGTTTTTCTACAATAACCGATTTATTCTTTTTAATATCAAAAAAATTGCAGAAGTAGTAGATTCTTGCAGGTTCTAGATCAGAGCATTAAAATTATTTTATTAACAGTATATTGTTGAAATATTCATCGGCTTCGGCCAAAGTCAGTTTCCGATAGATGACCTCTCGAAACGTCCTCTGTCTTTTCAACACCTGCTGAAAATTAGTTTATGATATGTTTCTTATGAAAAATCTCCAAAGTGGCCTAGGTTAATATGCTAAGAGACCATTCCGAATTCCTTTCTCTTCTCAAATAGTAAGCAGATCAAATAACTGAGTTCTAGGATCCATATAAACGTATAAATGTCTATGTAATTTAAAGTATTTGAAAATTAAAGCATGCTTTTAGGCACACAATTTGTATTGAATTGAGTTGTTTTATACAAAGTTCACATGGCACGTGATTCGCTCTTTTCGTTGATCAGGTAAGGGCGTCTTTTACAAACTTCTGCTGTCACACACTTGCGTATGTGTTTTTATACCCACCACCATACTATGGAGGGTACATTAATTTTGTCATTCCGTTTGTAACTCCTCGAAATACTTATGTCAGACTCAACTCTTGATCAGCGTAAAATTCTAAGAAGATTTAGCCATGTCCGTCTGTCTGTCTATCTGTCTGTCTATCTGTCTATACGTCTGTCTATACGTCTGTCTTTCTGTTGTAATCACGCTATCTTTCGAACGAATTGAGGTAAAAGGCTAAAATTTTGCACACATGTTGATTTTGCCAGCAGGCAGGTTAAGTTCGTAAATGGGCCATATAGGTCCACGTTTTTATATAGCGCCCATATAAAGGTACCTCCCGATATTCAGTATAAATTGATGCATTTAGCGACATTATTTACCGGAAGTGTTTCAAATTTGGTATTTGAAGTTCGTAATGGATAATACAGCCTATGACAGAAAATTGCTTGTGAAGGTCCTCGTCTTCGTATAGCCCCCATATAACGGTACCCCCTGATATTCAGTATTTTGATGATATTAGCGACATTATTCACCGGAATTGTTTCAAATTTCGTATTTGAAGTTCATAATCGATACTACGGCCTATGATAGAAAATTGTCTCTGCAAGTCCACGTCTTCGAATAGCCCCCATATAACGGTACCTCCGATATTCGGGATTTTGATGATTTTAGCGACATTATTTACCGGAATTATTTCAAATTTAGTATTTGAAGTTTGTAATGAATAATACAGCCTATGACAGAAAATTGTTTGTGCAAGTCCACGTCTTCGAATAGACCCCATATAACGGTACCCCCGATATTCAGTTTTTTGATGATTTTAGCGACATTATTTACCGGAATTATTTCAAATTTTGTATTTGAAGTTCGCAAGGCTGTATGCCTATGCCAGAAACTTATCTGTGCAGGTCCACGTTTTATAACCCCCATGGTACCTCCCGATATTCGGTATTTTGATGATTTTGGCTACATTATAAACAGATTTTTTTTCAAGTTTCACATTTGAATATTGTAACAGCTTATGACAAAAGTTGCCTTCGCATGTTCACGTCGTCGTACACGGCTACCGAGTTTTTAAGATTTCAACAGAATTTTTAAACAGATTTTTTTTTTGTTGTTTTGAAAATTGCCAAATTTGTATCAAATGGTGGAGGGTACTCAAAGTTCGGCCCGGCCGAAATTACAGCTTTTTTACTTGTTAAACCCTCAGCCATGCGGCTACATTTGATACGACCAAAACTTGTCTCATTGAAATAACAAAGACATCTATTTTAGACCCTAGATGTCTTTGGACCAAATCTGTTTCAAAAGATTTGGAGTCGTCCTTCTGTCAGCCTATCTTTCTGGCTAGTACGCGCAATAACTTTTGAAGGCAGTATCCGTTTTCGGCCAAACTGGGTACATTGTGATATTATTTTCAAACTTAGATTGTATTCGGAGATGGTCACTCCCCCAAAAAGGTTATTTTCTTTGAAAATAATTTACCTCTTAGAAAGAGAAAGAATCATCCGATTTTTTTTTTTTTCAAACTTAAAATCCTAATATTCGCATCAGTGCTAAGTCAGGCGTGGCTTCTAAAATTTAAAATGAAAGCTCTATTGTCTTCAAATTTAACACATCCCAATATTTCTACCAACACTTGAAACTCTTATGAAGACACTTCTTCTTCTGACGAAATCTACCCACAATGGGTCAACATTTTAAATAACCATGACGCTCATAAAACGTTAAAAAGGCATCCGTTTCTTTCCACACTTGTTGGAATGTCCAAGGTCTGCAGCCAAATGTTTGCGTAACCAAGGCTTTAATACACCCTCCAGAATATTTTCGGGATAATATTCGGCATTTATCCTGATGCCACGGTCGATTGATACGAGCGAAAAGCGACCATCGATTGTTGTGGCGGCCCACACCATCACGAGACACAAAATATTTATTCACATTTAAATGCTGGAGTGCTCTACCGATAGCCACTTGTGGTTCTCCAACCAAATATAAAGAAATCACGCTTGAATTCCATCACGAATAACTTTTTTCTGAAAAAGTCCTCACCTAGACCAAGCTTGGCACGTCGCAATATTTATATCATGTACAATATTGTGCCATTCCTTCGGAACCTACTCCAAAGAGGGTCAACGCTTCGCATAGTAAAAACCGAAGTCAGAATATATATTTAAATGATCGAACATTGGCTGAGGGTCTGCATCTGTCGGCAAAACCGACTGATACGTTTTCACTTGTTCAGGTACATAATTTGAACGGAGAACAAATAGTTCAAATGTCAATGAGAACATGATATAATTCTAATGCACTTTAAAGTCAACAAAAGATGAAGCATATTTTTAGGATCATATTATTCCGTGAATTTATGAGAATAATGGGTATTTTGAAATATTTGGAAGGTCTTAAAAAACGTTACTTCTTTCCTAAAAAAGAAATTAAACAAAAGAAAGAAATGAGCTATAAGTTGCAACGAGTTGTATCCCTATTTTACAAAAAAATCAGACAACAACATCATGTGACCGTTTGCGACTGCCGATGGTCCATGGAATTTTAACAAAAATTGCTTCCAATTTAGGACTTTCCGATCCAGATGTTTTGCAAAATATTGATATTCTCATCCACATTATTACATACTTACATATTTTTGTCTATTTCATATGCTTGTTCGTATTTGTCCCCATGATGTTCTGCATGATGTTAAAGTGTGTGTTTTTTCTCCTTCTTTTTTCTTATTCTAGTCCCTTAACTGTCCACTGCTCTCCAGGTACTGGTCGAACGGGTACAATTATTGCATGTGACATTGCCATACGCAGCCTGGAGACACCCAAGCGAACCGTTGACATTCCCCATATTGTGTACTATGTGAGGCGAGGACGAGCCAGTGCTGTGCTGACCAAGGAACAATACGAATTTATCTATAAAGTGGCCAATATGTATGCGGCGAAAATAACCAATCCAAGTAATTATAATTGAAGCGAAGGCGAAAACTGATGACCAACAACAAAGAGGCCTTGCGAGAGAACAACAACAAACCAAGTAATTATAATTGAGGTGGCGATAACTGAAAACCAACCAAGAGGCCTTGCGACAACAATGATTTGTTAAAATTCCATACCAAAAGTGCCTTGAATTAAAAACAGGAGAAGGAGCAGGGAGTCCACATACATCTTCCATGATATTATGCTGTGAGGATATAGTACCCCAGCTGGCCTTGAAGCTACTACCCAGGAGCAGGAAATCAAACATCAAAACAAACAAACGAAAATCGCTCACATATTTAGTCATTATAAATATATTATTTTTATTTAATTTTTTATTATTAGAAATATATGTAAATGTACATACATACATATATAGATCAATATACATATTTCTGTGTATATGTTTTTGTCTCCAAGACATATGGTATATATGTTTGCCGGACAAAATTTGCAGCTTTATAAAAAACACATTGGCGATCATAGATTTATAATTTGCTTTAAAAAATATAATTAGAAAGAAAAAAAAACGCTATATACGTATTTCCAAATACTGAAACTCCAACAGTAACTATATAAAAGAAATTGTATTTATTTAATCTCTAGATATTCTCTGCTAAACAAAACAACAACAACACACAACTGTTATGTATTAATTCCTTCTATTTGTGATATTATTAGTTATTGAATTTAGTTGAAAAGTAAAAAAACAAAATAAAAAACAAAATCTAAACTAAAACAACAAAACATTAAACCTAATTCTGTAATTTATATAAAATTCTGTATATTTACTGTATTCAATTTTTGTTGCTTGTATTATACGTAAACACTTTTTTTATAATTATGTATTATTATTAAAAAGAAAAACAGTAAAATTTCGTTGTAAACATTTGTATGTTTCCTGTTTTATTTTTTTCTCTCTTCATGTAAACATTGAATGTTTATTTGTAAATAATTTTTAAATTAAATAAAAATAATTAGTAAATATATTTATGTACACATACAGAAACACACACATATAAAATGGTTTATTAAAACAGAAAATATAACAACAAAACAAGAAAATATTTAATATAAATGAAATGTGTTTTATTTTAATTCAATGAGGTTTTCTTAACACATACGATGTGAGAATCAGAGCATATCTTAAGGCGCAAACAGTAATACACAGACCGTAGATATTGCAATGAAATGCTTTATCAAGGTAGACAAAGGGATCAAATATATTTAACAAAAACCATTAAAAAAATATAAAATTCTGGCGGGGCCGACTTTATGATACCATACACCCCTTCGCATATATAGTAGGGCTTCACATAACAAATAAAAGTTTAATTAAATCATACCAACTATGATTATAGTTGCAATTTAAAGTCCAAAGGAACTAATATATGAGAGGAATACCCTCCTCTGAATAGATTTGTACTAAATTTGAGGAGGCATTTGTGTCTTTTCAATTCGGGAGTGTTTTACCCATTTGGTGCACAATTAAGTTAAAGTCAGATAAATATATATATGGGAGCTATATTCAAATTTGAACCGATCTCGATAAAATTTATCGAAGGTATTTTTGAGCTGTATTTGATATATTTTTTCTCCAATATCATTGTTACAGAGTGCATATTACGACTACGGAGGACATCGGATGAACAACATATGTATATGGGAGCTATATCTATATCTGAACCCATTTTCACCAAATTTGACATACTTGTTTCTAGGCTCAATTTGGTCGTAATCACAAATTCACACTATTTGGGATAACGTTACACGTTTGGTTCACAATAAAAGGAAATCGAAAACGAAACTATATATGGGAGCTATATCTAAAGTTTGACTGATTATCTCCAATTCTAATTGTGTTTATCGTTGTGTTCAACGAATTATTCTGCAAAATATTCTCCTCCAAATTTTTTTGGAAATTTTCGAATTTAGATTCCTTAAAATCCGTTCAGTTAAATTACATAGTGTCTTCGGCAATATTACAGATAATAACATGAGGATTATTTTGGTGGAATATTTAAAACTTCAAGCGAGTCGCCAAATGGGTATTTTTATCGTTTTTTTTTTAAAAAATATGATTAAAAAATTCTCAATTTTACCTAAACTCTAGAAATTCATAATTGAGTGAGTGACTGATTTAGAATCAACGCCCAGACGAAACGACTGAGGTTCAAATGAAATTTTGCAAAAGATTCGGTCTTGGTATTAAGAGGGTACGAAAAGTACAAAAATGTACCAAAAATTTAATAATTTTATTGCTTTGGACAAACCGCATGTGGAAGAAATCTGAAATTTGAAATAAGATTAATTGATGGAGTGCAGGATAGATTTACCAAAGAGTTTTTTTTTCGGAAATACGAACTTCAAGGTTACGAAAAGTTCTAAAATGGTACTAAACTTGTAAAATGGTATGATTTGATATTATGTGAACGGATAGAGCTAACAAAACAAGGTTGAAAAGCAAGTTTGATATAGGAAGGTGAATGTTTTGGAAATGTGTACAAAGTATACGAATTGTACTAAATGGTACTAAACTTGGAATAGTTTGGCTTAGGGTAAACGGATGAAATTGGAATTTTGAAATGTTGATATTGGGGTCCCTGTTGATGGTAGGTTTGTGATAAAGAGGTGGTTTTGGAAGTGTGTACTATAATAAATAGTACTATAATTGGTATAATTTGGTATTGATTGTACGAATTTCTGAATTTTGCTACTAGGATCGTTGTTCAAGTGTACATACGGCATATGGAGGTGGTTTTGGTAATGTGTACTAAAAGTGCACGAAAAATACTAAATGGTACTATATTTGGTATTGGGTGAAGGGATAGAGATCAACTTCTGAAATTTGATATTGAAGTCTCTGTTGGTATCTGGAATTGAGATATGGTGGTTTTGGAAATGTGGACCATAATTGTACTATAAGTACTAAATTTGGTATTGGGTGAAGGGATAGAGCTAAAATTCTGATAAAGATGTCATTGATATAGATGTATATGTCATTGATGGTGTCTATGAGAGACAAGGGGTGCTGGTTTTGGATATGCATACTACAATTGCACTAAACGGTACTGGGGAAAAATGCAGAGCTAAAATCCTGAAATTTTAAATTAAAGTCACTGTTGACATCTGAGGTTTAGATATGGGCATTGCTTTAAAAATTAGTACGAAAAGTAAATTTGTACGAAAAGTATTAATGCTATTGGCGGGAATAATTAAATTTGACACTGGGTTCTCTGTTGGTAGCTGAATTAAATTTGACACTGAGGTCTCTGTTGGTAGCTGAAATTGAGATATGGAGGTGGTTTTGGAAATATGTATTATAATTGTTTGAAATGTAAAAAGAAATTCTGAAATATGATGTTAAGGTCACTGTTGGTTTCTATCGCTTACATATAGAGATGTTGAAATAGTTTTGGGCAGAAAAATTGGATAAGTGTCCATGGTGCAATGGCAAACATTAGGTAGACATTTTCCTATTATTCTTTTCGAAATAGGAAGAACTTGAGTAACATATAAAATATTGAAGTTTTGCTTAAAAATTTGGTCAAGTAAAAGAGTAGTAAGTTCGACTGTGCCGTTTTTGGAATAAATTTACAAAAAAAAACCTGTTAATGCTCGTCAAATTAATTTTTGTCATGGGCCATTACGATATTCAAATACGAAACTTGAAACAATTCCGGTGAATAATGTCGCTAAAATTATCATAACACCGAATATAGGGAGGTAGAGTTATTGGGCGGCTATACGAAGGCATAGGCCTGCATATGCAATTTTTTATCATAGGCTGTAGTACCTATTAGAAACTTTATATACAAATTTGTAAAAATTCCGGTGAATAATGTCGCTAAAATCATCAAAATACCGAATGTAGGGATGTATCGATATATGGGGACTAAACGAAGACGTCGACCTATTTGTGTAATTTTCTGTCATAGGCTGTAGTAACCATTTCGAACTTCCAATACCAAATTTGAAACAATCCCGGTCAATAATGTCGCTAAAATCATCAAAGAGCCGAATATGGGGAGGTACCGTTATATGGAGACTATACCAAAACGTGGACCTACATGGCCCATTTTCAATACCAAAATTCCTGTAGACATAATATACATTTGAGTAAAATGTCATCATCCTACTTCATTTCGTTCGGAAGCTAGAGTGATTTCCACAGACGGACGAATATCGTTAAATCGACATAGAATTTTATGCTGATCAAGAATACATATACTTTGTGGGGTCTAAAATGTGTATTTCGAGGTGTTACAAACGGAATGACAAACTCCATACGATGGTGGAGGGTATAAAAAGTGATTGCAGGACAACATTTATTTCCTTTGTCACTTTCTCCTACAAAAAGAGATTTGTCGGAAGATTTGTCACTGTAAGTTCAGGCTTACCGTGATCTCTGTATTGATATTTACAAAAAACAAGTAAAAAAGTATCGGTCGGTTTTGCCGACAGATGTATACCCTCAGCCCTCTTCACCCTCTATGGAGTGGGTTTTTAAAGAATGGGTCAATATTGTCAATTTCGTATCGGACCTACATAAATATGATATAAATATTATTATAGCAAATGGATATAGCAATTGTAAGGAATCACTGAGTTGTTTCGCAATTTATGACAGATAAAAATATTGAAAAATGTGTCTCTTTGTGGGTGAGGTACCACAAGGTGTTCGCAGATATATAGGATCATCTTCAAAACAGATCTGGTGTTAGCAAAAATAATTTGTATGTGTGAAATTTGAAAAAAGTTGAATCCTTATTTCACTTTCTTTGAGCGTTATGTTTTTCAAAATTAGATTATTGCTTCCTTTCTGTGCAGAAAATATATATCTCAAATTTTCGACCATTTGTGGGGGAGGTACCATAAGATGTGGACCGATATACTTCATCTTAACACCAGAGCTTGGGTTAATATAAATATTGGGATGTGCGCCATTCGAAGACAATCGGACTCATACATCACATTTTATGAGAGTTGTAATTATTCAAAATTTTGACCATTTGTGGGGGACGTAATTGAAGGAGTGAACCGATATTGCCCATTTTTACACCTAACGTAGAACTGATGCAAATATTACGATTTGCAAAGTGAGAGCAAAATCGGATTATCCTTTCTCTTTTTGTGCAAAAAATATATTTTTTGCAAATTTCGACCTTTTGTGGGGGAGGTACCAGAAGGAGTGGACCGATATATTCCATCTTAACATCAGATCTTGGGTTAATATAAATATTGGGATGAGTGAAATTTCAAAACAATCAGAC